CAGCCAGCTTGCCACTGTGCATGCACGAGCTGTGCTTTGTTAATAGTTCTGGAGCCTTCTGGGACACATCACAGGCAAAAAGAAGGGGTTGGGGGGGATTGTCGAACTTATGCTTTGATCGTCTAGGCAATTGGAGCAGAAGTGGGAGCAGGTAACTCTCAAAACTAGGTATCCAGGGGGTGTAACTTCCCCTTTTGGGTGAAATTGCACTTTAAGGAGTACCCTGACTCATAGATTTGTATTGTGGCAAGGAACAGTAAAGCACAACCCTGGTGCAGCACTTCTCAGTACAATGCTTGATAATGTAATGAGCTAACTCTGTGTATATATATAATTACAAAATACACATAGAATCAAGGTTTTATAAAATAAATAAAAAAATTAACCCACATTGACACACACTTTATTAACACCAAGCTGATCTACCTTACATGCATATCTGGAAAAACAGCGAAAATAGACTATACATTCCCCTTAAATTTAAAATACATAAATGTGTCTTACAGCAAAAGAATTTAGAATGAAATTAATTCTAAATATATGAACCAGGACACCATTTTGCATGCAAAGACTATTATACATTTTCTTACAATGACAGTTTTTAGAAAAAGCAAATACATCTTTGCCATAAATTGCAATATGGCTGAGCAACAGTACTGTAAATAAACATGACTGTCTAGATAATAGTATTGGAGATACTTCTACCTAGGATGAAAAATATTGAGACCTCTGGTTATGAGAGGGTTACATAACAAGAGCTGCTGACAAAATTTTAAATTCCAATAAAAATCTGAATAGGTTGTATGTAGTTGCAATGTTTTATTAAAGTGGAACTCCAGCTAAAACTGTTTGGACAGAGTCCAGAACGGTTAGTACCTCTGTCAGTTTTTTTTCTGCCATCCTCTATCAGTTGTTTTCCCTTATTCTTATCCCCTAAACCTCCCCAGTGGGGCAGTGACAGTAAAAATAAACTTAAGAAAGGCTCTAACTTTCCCCCACTAGACAATCACCGTCCTCCAATGCAAAAGATTTCCCACCACTTCCTGACCCTATACCCTCATGTAAACAGACAGTAATAAGACATGGCTTAGATTCTCAGTTTGTCTGAAACAAAAGTTGGGGCTGGAGTTCCACTTCAATTCTACTAAATGGACAGATGTATCAGAAAGTACACATTATAAAAAAAAAATACTACATTTGTTTGGCTTTCTTCTAATTGCAAGCTCTACTAACAGCTACCAACAAACAAGCTTCTTCTGGGTCATTGATGGATCAGACTGAACCGGTTGTGATGGTTGGTTTTTGCCCACACACAGACAGATTTTGGGGTTGACTGTTTACGAAGTGAACTTCAACAAAGTGACACAGGTCAACAAACAGCACATTCTCTTTAAGGCCTGGTCCACACTAGTGCGATTTCAGATGCGACGTGAGTCGCACAGAATTGTAAGACAATGACAAACACATTGTTTTCAAGGGTGCCCATTCACATCAGTGCAGCACAGTATGGTGCCATTTTGGAATAGAGTTCTATGCTGCTTTGTTGTGATTCAAATGATATTTTGACCACATAGAAAATGCAAACAAAATCCAACATGCAACCAAGTCACACTAAATAATTGCCCAGGAGATCAAATCGTAGCCGCAGTAGTGTCAACCCAGCCCTAAAGCAAACCATTCCTCCCTATGAAAATCTATTTTTTTCTATAAAAGGTTACTAATGAAACCTGGCAGTGCGGTTGGACAACACAGGGAATATTTAGAACTACACATAGCTTCTCACTTTGCCTTAGTTCGTGATTTTAGTGATAATGTTCCTCATAGTCATTAATATATGTTAAAGCTTTATTTATAATAGAAGTGCATCAGAACAACTGATACAAAAACACACAGATACATGACAGGTACAAATCTAAAGCCAACTACTGCCAACACAGTCTGTATGATTTATGAACCTACCTCAAATAAGTTCAGACCCTGAGCTTCACTTTGATTGTATGGTCGAATTACTCCATCTTCATGAATGAATCGAGGAGGTCGAAGAGGAGATACATCTTCTGTAGATTCTGCTACTCTGAAGATATATGGAAAAAAAGACTTTAGTGTAAAGGGTGATCTGTGGCTGGCAATTGGAAACACTTTGCTAAGATATTAGCTAATTGTATCTGTTATGGAAGTAAAGCTGGCCATACACATAAGAAAAAAAATTGGATTCCTCCCTCCCATGATACACTGCGCAAATGGCCGAGTCTCCCAATTGCTGCTACTGTATTTTGACAGAAGACCCTGCCAGCTGTTAGAATACCCCAACAGTGCCTACCTCTAAATAGATGCAGGTACTGTTTGGTTGACTGTTTGGGGGCCAGATTTAGTTGCCTACTTGAAGCCCACAGTAATCAAAGTTCATTTTATTATATGAACCTTAGAAGAAAGACTGTTTTTCACACATGCTCTCTGTTTTCTAAGACAGTGGTATCCAAACTGTGGCCCATGAGCTGTAAGCAGCTTTTTGCTTGATTTTATCCAGCTCATGAGGCATAATTCCTCTCACTGACACCAACGACGGGGCATCATTCCTTTCGCTGGCACCAACAGTGGGACATTATTCCTCCCATTGACACCAAAGATGGGGCATTATTCCTCTCACAGACACCGATGGGGCATTATTCAACCAACTGACAACAAAGATAGGGCATTATTCAACCCACAGACACTAACGATGGGGCATAATTTCTCTCACTGACACCAATGGTGAGGCACCATTCCTTTCACGGACACCGGACAGTGGGTCATTATTCCTCCTACTGACACCAAAAATGGGGCACCATACCTCCCGTTGACACCAACAATAGGGCACTATTCCTATCGCTGACATCAACAATGGGGCTCTATTCCTCCAGCTGACACCAACAATGGGGTACTATTCCTCCAGCTGACACCAAGAGTGGGGAATAATTCCTCCACTTGTCACCAACATTGAGGCAGTATTCCTCTCACTAATATCAATGATGTGGCACTACTCTTCATTCTATTGACTACAGGTATTATGTAGTTTTTTCACTCCCATTAACCAAGCCTGAGGCACTGTATACTCCCACTGATGCTTAGGCATTTTCTACTCCCAATGGTAACAGTATAGCCTCCCCCCCAATCCTGAAGGAGAGTAAACTGGCCCTTTATTTAGAAAGTCAGAGACCCTGTTGTAAGAAATATTATTATGAATTATAAGTAAGGGTTAGTTCACCTTGACTCACTTTTGCCAAAAATATCCCCAAGCATTAACGCATCCTCAGTACATTAGAATGCAAAGTTCTGCTTTGTAAAAGAATGCTTAAGCTGGCCATAGATGGTTTGAACCTCGGCCAGTTCAGTAGAGGATTCGAACCATCTATGGGAAGGCTGATTGTACTCAAGTCAATTGTTGTATGACTTGGGTACAACCAGAATGTCAGATTTTTACATGTGATTATTGCCAGCAGCAATAATCACTGTGTTCTCCTGGCACGACACAATAGCTCCACAGGATGGATTCTCTGAACAACACTGTCAGTGTTGATGGGGGAATAAAACTATTCGTATCATCTACGGCCTGTCTTAATTTTCCAGATGCTTATTTTACTCCCCTACACTCTCCATTCTGCAGATGGTAGGATGTACAGAGCATTGGATTTGTGGCCCCACAAACTCATGAACACTGGGCTTCATTCCCCACCCACACATACATAGTCTGCTCCCTGATCCTCTCACAGAGCGCAGAGGAGAGAGAGAGAGAGAGAGAGAGAGGGGGGGGGGGGGAGAGAGAGAGAGGACTGCACATGTGAGGGCAGGGAACAAAGTCAAGTGCTATACATCACTTTCCAGGGCAGTGCATGAACTGCTAGATACATTCTGCCATCTGCAGGAATGAGAAGGGAGGTCATTGAAACGAGCAGCTGAAAAAGTAAGCATTTGTTTACAAAACGGAGCCCTGCATGTGATATGCTCAGGTGTAGAAATGTTTTTGGTAAGTCATTAAAGATGAACTAACCCTTTAAATAACCTAAGTTATATAATGTTATTTACCACACAGAATGGGTTGTAGCTGGATTCTGGACACTGATAAGTACATTTTTCGTCTGTATTATTAAAATTCCAGCATTCTCCTAACAATACTACCTAACACTCAGAAACAAATGTATCCAAACATAATCTGCTGAAAATCTTGTTGAGAATGGTCTAGAATGTTACGTGATAACTGGTATTCTAAGGAACTCTAATGAAAAAAAAACATCATAAGCCAAGTCTTCCAATTATGTTGTATTTGTAAGTAAAAATATAGACAAAAGAAAACATTTAAAAGGAAAGCTGTTATATGAGATAAAAGAGCCTGCATTTGCTAGCAGCTTTCTGGCTATTTCAGGCTTCCTAACTTTTCAAATCAAGCATGCATCATGTTAAGTCAGAATGCCTGATCTACATATTTGTTCTAGTTCAGTGACTCCAAGTATTAAAATCAGAAAGTCAGCATGAGAGCCAGGCAACTAACATTTTCAAAAAGAGAACAGCCAAGACAGTCCTTGAATTTCTCACATGGCAGAGTTTTGTTAAGTCCATATACCTAACTTCTAATCCTGCCTGAAAAGCTTACAGTTATTTAAAGAATTACCATATATTAGAGCTTCTAAGATAAACCCATTTATGGGCTGCGTTAGAAAGACGGACAGGCTGAGTTAAACGGCTTTACAATAATTACACATCCTTCAACATTTTGCATTTATTTTCTTTGGAGATATTTAAAACATTTATCAGAGTATCTCACAAGACAAAGAAAATGCTTTACAGAAAGGAGGCATTTTAAACAGGCTTCTGACAGGCAGATGTACATCCATTAGACAAACACAAACCAAATGTTACTAGGAATCTGCTCAATAAAGCTTACAATCTACACAAAAGATCCAGGAAATGAGAGACACACACAGAGGAGGCATGCCGAAAGCTGGTGGTGTAGAAGTCTTTTGGTTTCATAATTCACTGATGAGTTGAGGGCACATATTAAACATATTGGCACTGAAGACAGAAGAACAGTGAGCCAAGAAGGGTCATAGTAAATGTCTCTGAGCCAGAAAAATCTCAGTGATTACTTAGAATTTGAAGAATCAAAGAAGAGATTCCCAAAGAAGAAAAGTCCTGCAAATAGAATCTCAACAGTGCAAGAATTATGTATGGCTCTGAGTGTTAAATATATAACAATTTAATAAATTTACTGGATATTAAACACATTTCTCATAGAAAAGGGAGAAGGCAAATGATCTAGCAGCAGCGTTGCCAATGAGCTGAAGCTGAAAAACTGCTATCAGTGAAGTAAAGAGATGTGGGGACCAAGTTGGTCAGAGCATTGTTGGTATGCCAGGTATGTAAGAAAGGCAGGACTAAAAGAGGGGACTGTGCTATAGCTGCAAAAAAACAGAACATGACAAGCGGGGTGAATTAGTGGCACATGATCAAAGACTGACAGGGGAAATAGCGATGAAATACAAGTTCACTGCTGATGGAGAAATGTCTAAACTAGAAAGAGTTTAACTTTGCAGAAGCTTGACCTTGCTACATTCTTTTTTATGTCTAATTAAATAGTAGTATAGTGGATCAATGTGAAGTTACAAATGTAAAATTTAGAGAAAACAGATGCATGAAATTTATAATAGAAAACACTTTTCTTACACAGGGTCTACTTTACACCACACAAACTGCAAAAACTGAACCCTAACCTGCTGGAGATGAGGGGACAATGAAGGAAATTACAGAGTGTAATCACTGACATCACAAAATCATGTATGCTAAGACTGGTAGAGGACTAGCTCCTTCTAACTCAGAGAGGACACAACTTGGATTACTCCTTTATTAAGCAAGGAAGGCCACAGCCATGACATGGACACCTTATAAAGTATGTATGGCTAAATTTGCAACCATATGCACAACATGGATAGACAACCTATCCAGAGGAACAACTTAAACATTGACTGATACCATTTCATTTACAACACTGGGTAATCTTGTCTCTTCCACATGGTTCCACATGTATGATCAAGTAAACTGAACACATTTGACTGCGTGTACCCTTACATTTTTCACTCTTAAAAGGAGAAGTTCACCTTTGGGAACATGTTACATTTTTAGGGTGGAACATGTAACATGTTCCCGCTCTGCAGCTCTCTTCCCAATACCCCCCCCCACCCGTGAAAGCAAGCCAGGGATCTTCTCCCTGCATCCGCTATCACAATTTGAAAAGAGTTCTGTGAGTGAATGCCTACAAGTTCCATCAGCCTTTGCAGCTGACTGCTTGTAGTTCTCCATGAACTGTGAGGGTGCTGGTGAGCGCTCTCGTAGTCCATTGAGCTTCCTGAGCTGAGGTTACGGTCTGCCCATATCAGCGGTATGTGCAGACAGCCACACCAGCAGTCTGCCGGAGCCGCACACTGCACCTGCGATCTGCTAATCGTGGGTACAAGGCTTTCCAGTCTCCCAAGAAAAAAAATGCAAATGCATATTTTTTTACCTGCAAAAAGTGTACCTTGACTTACCGGTAACTCTACTTCCAAGACAGCCCATGAGAGATGGGGCTCCTTCCACAAGGACAGGAAACACATTGACACAGACCTTTAAAAGGCAATTCTTTCAGAAGCATGGCCAGTCAATCCAATAAATGAAGGATGGAGCAGAAAAATATATAAACACAAACCACCAACAGACAACCATAATAAATGGGGTGGGAACGTATTGTCCTGAAAGACTACCGGAAATAGAGTTACCGGTAAGTCTAACTCTGGTTTTCCCCCAGTGATCTTCTAGGACAGCCCTTAAGAGGATAAAAGTTCTCATCAAATTGGTGGGTGACCGTGGCTTGGAAGACTTTCCTCCCAAATACCCGATCCTGGCTCGCCAGCAAGTTTAATTGGTAGTGGAGTACAAAAGTGGAAAAACTTGACCATGTGGCATCTCTGCATATCTGCTCCTGGGTGGCACCACCTTTCTCTGCTCATGAAGCTGAAAATGCCCTGGTACAGTTGGCATATAAGATGCTCGGAGGATCTAATTCAAGAGCCCATATAGCCTTCAATGATGGCTGAACTAATCCATCAGGCTATTGTGGCCTTGGAGGCCTGCATGCCTTTACATTTTCCTGAAAATAGCACAAACAGGGCTTCTGATGAACTAAAATCCCTACTGACTTCTAAATAGACAAAAAGACACCTTCTAACATTCAGTAGATTTAGTTGTTCCTCCTGACTGTTAGGTGGCCAATTGCAGAAGGTGGGCAAAATAATGTCTTGACGCCTATGAAAGGAGGTAGTGATTTTAAGAATGAATCCTGGATCAGTTCTTAAAATAACCCTATCGTCCAAGATCTGTGGAAAGGGTTAACATGTGGATAGTGCCTGAATCTCGCTGGCTCTGCAGGCAGAAGTAATGGTTACGAATAGTACTGTCTTAAGGAGCAATACTCTGCAAACAGCCAGCATGGATGAAGGAACTATATTATCAAATGAACCTCCTCTCTCTTTCCATGAATAAGGCAATTACAATTCGAAGAAATCAATTTCCAGCATAAGAGATTTGCTCAGATGTAGTTCTACTACATGTGCTCAGATGTAGTTCTACTACATGTGCTCAGATGTAGTTCTACTACATCTGAGCAAATGTCTTATGCTGGAAACTGATTTCTTCGATTGCCTTATTAGTTGCCTTATTCATGCAGAGAGAGCGGAGGTTCGTTTGATAATATAGTTCCTTCATCCATGCTGGCTGATTGCAGAGTATTGCTCCCATACTTTTGGATACTTCAAACAGATCATTGCTCCCAGAGCAATAGCGATTATGCTGATTTATAATTATTGATAATTATTGATCAGCATATCGCTCTGGTGAGTTCATTTAATTTATTCGGTGGTGTATTTTTTCTTCACGGTGTCAATTATTTATACAAGATTGCTACATAGTACATCAGTCCTCTTACTCTTCAACCTTTCCGTGGCCTTCGACACAGTTGACCACCACCTCCTCCTCAATAAACTACACTTCCTTGGCATCAGAGACTCCTGGCTCTCCTATCTATCCAAACGCTCCTTCAGCGTTACCCATAACGCTACCACCTCCCCCCCACTCCCCACTTTTATTTTATTTTCATTTTTTTAATATTTATTTTTTTTTATTTGTAGTTATTTTTTTAATAATTTTTTTCTTTTTCTTTTCTTTTTCTATTTTATCCTAATTTTTAATCTTTATTCTTATTCTTAATTTTCTATATTTAATTTTTTTCCATTTCTATCTCTTTTACCTCTCTAAACTTCAGTTTATCAGTTCTTCCAGACTGTTCCATTCTCCTAATTTTTCTCTTTATTACTCCCTCTTCTGGACTGGTATTCGTTTGTTATTCTCTTCCCTTTTATGCTGCTTGATTGACACATCTTTACACTTTTCTCTCTTCAGCAGTTCACCGGCCTCACACTGCATTACACACAGCTCCAGCTCGTTCCGGCCCCTGTCTGATTCAGCGCCGGCGTCATGTGTTTCTGTGACACTGGCGGCTGGCTTGTTGGCTGGTCCCAGGGTGCATGTAAGACCATTGGAGGGATGGACACACCTCCTCTGGCTCTTAGCAACGACTTTACAATACATTCTTAGTATCAATCTCTCGCCTGCCCTTCTGTTTACATTTACTGTATGTGTGCTCAACCTACAGTACATTTGTGGAGTTTAAAATGTGACCATGCTACATACTCTTGTACCACAGGGTGTGCTTATCTGATTGTGGTTTTAACACCGTATTTATTAATGGAGGTTTACAGTTATATTATTTTACAGAGGTTTATGCATTTAGAAGGAATTACACATCACTATGCCATTTAGGGGCATGGCTAAGCTCATTGTTTGCTCACTGATTGGTGGATAATTTAAATAGTTTCTTTCTTGTAACATACTTTGTCGAATGCCTGATGAAGGGGTCCTGTGAGGCTGTGAAATGTTGCTTCTGCCTGTAAAAACGTGATCAATAAATAAAGCTTTGGACCCGCATTAGAGATCCACAGTGCGCTAGTGACGTTCTTCTGCTTTCCCTGGAGTTGAGCTATTCTTAGATTCATCTGGCTGATCTTTTCTTCCAACTGAATGGTATATCCGAGGAAAAGAATCTCTGAGATGGCGAGACTTGTGTACTATTTATTCTAGACTTTCCAGCCACTGTTGCGCCTTCATTATTTCCATCCGAAGCTTCTCCCTGGTGTATGCCATGAATAGCAAATATGGGACGTCCATGGTGGACAGAAGTCTCAATGGAGCCAATGCTTCAGCTAAAACCTTGGTGAATATACTTGGTGCCAATGAGAGCCCAAAGGGCAGATCCCTGCTCTGAAAATGGTACACTTTCTCTCCAATCTTTATCGCCAGGCACAGGTACCTCTGGGAACTTTCCCTTAAGGGAATGTATAGGTAGGTGTCCTTTAAATCTGTGGTGGCCATTTGGAAACTTTCTTCAGTAGATTCCGGACTGTAATAAATCGACTCCATCCGAAACCTCTTTTAGCGAATGGCTCAGGGGCAGAAGATTTAGGATCAGACGGTACTTTCCAAACAGTTTTCTTTATCACAAATACATGTGAGTAGAAACCTCTTTCCTGCTCCTGAATGGTTACTGGCATGAGCACATTCTGATATACTAGTCAGATGCAGTAAGACCTCAGCTTTTTTTGAGTCCTTTGGCAATTTCGTGATTCAGAATCTTAAAGAATGTCTGGTGTTGAATTCCAAGGCATAACTGTCTCCTATGGTCCTACAAACAAAGTTGTTAGAGCTGACTTTTGCCCACTGTGAAAGGAACCCCCCTGGTCTTCCTTTCCACTGGGAATCTGGCATCTTTGGGATTTGGCATTCTGGCTGGGGGAGTTAAAGCGGAGTTTCACTCATGCAGTCAAAAAATAAAAGTCAGCAACTACAAAAACTTCAGATTTCAGACAGATTGATCATCTTGCTGCCATGCACAAGGCAGCAGTCTTAGCAGACAGCTTTACTGATTC